AAACTTGAAATTAAATATTAAGTCCTCTATACTTAAGTAACGCTTATTTTCCCAAAATAGTTTAGACGTCGCCCTGGGCCTGAAGAGGACTGGCGGTCGATGACCCACGGCCAGACACCTGTTGGCCGGCAGGAAACCTGATCGTTTGGGATGATTGTAAGATGTAACCGATTTATTTTTCAACCTGATGGTATAATTGATAAAAGAAGCGTAATATATTCGTTAGAGTCATTATTATCAGGCCACTAATTCCTTTTGTGATTCCCAACCAATATTTGCCAAAATAATAAGGAAATTCCACGTGACATTTTTTTGTTTTATCACTAGGTCGACAGGTTGAAGAAATAAGAAGTTTCATAGAGGACATAAAAATAAAGAAATAGCAAGAGAATTTAAAGGAAAAAGGTGTAAAATTACTATTAATTTTTTCTACCCTACGAAGTGATTTTTCATTGGGTACGTTTCTGCTTCATATCATCTTCAGACCCAGAAAAGCGTTGATTAGTTCAACATAGGTTAGTCCATTCGATCAACCATCACCGTCAACTTAGACAATGAAGTTGGTAAAAAGCATAATCTTCTATATGAAAAGATTCTCTTCTTTTAGTGCATCTTTTTTCTCTTCTTTTTGATCTACATCTCAATTTTTTTAATGGAGTAATACCCTCCTCTCTCTTACTTTCCTTTCTTTTCAAGCTTTTCACTATTTCTGTTAAACTATCTCCTTCTTTGTTTCTCGTTTGAATTTTCATTTTTATTTTTACTTGTCTTGCCCATCTCTCTCCCTCTCTCTCTCTCTCTCTCTCTCTCCCTCTCTCTCTCTCTCTCCCCCTCCCTCTCTCTCCATCTGTCTATTTATCTATCTATCTACTATCGACTTAATTAATTAGAAAAAAATATCAAGGAGTAATTATGCTTTTTTTCTATTTCCTTGATTTTTTCTACTTTTTTCTCTGTCCATCTGTTTCTCTCCCTCCATCTGTCTAAATACCTATTTATCTACCTAATTAACTAAAAAAAGTATATTCCTAAACATTACTCCTTCTTTCTTTCTACTTAGCATTTTCATTTTTTTCTTCTACTTTTTCCTTCACCTATGTATCAATATATCTATCTACTTATCGACCTAGTTAAGTTAAAAAAGAGCTAGTCAAAAAGCTAAAAAGAGAAGGTATATTCCTAAACATTTCTCTGTCTTTCTTTGCAATTTCATTCTTTTTCTACTTTTTTCTTTGACCATCTTTCTATCTCCCTTCATCTTTCTACCTACTTATCCATTTAATCAAGGGGGGAAAAAAACCTTATTTCTTAACATTTCACCTTATTTCTTTTGTTTAAATTTATATTCTGTTTTCTCTTCTCTGCCATTTGTCTCTCTCTCTCTCTCTCCCCCTCTTCCTCTCTTTTTCTCTCTCGCTCTCTATCTATCTGTCTATCTATCTCTATCTCAATCTATCTACCTTTCTTTTTATCTGCCTATCTATACAACCTCAGTATTAGAAATATCGACCACTTTTTCACTCACGAACACTTTGGATCAAGGTATGGTCTTGAAGAAGAAACAAATCCAGTTGCCAAGCTTTCGACCTATTTTAAGGTCATCATCAGGGCAAAAGAATCTTAAATATATTTACAGATTGACATATTTAAGTTTTTTTTCTGGCTATCTTAAATTGCTTTGAAGACCTACTCAGTCCCAACATTGCCAAGGATTGTCTTCAAGACCATACTTGATCCAGAGTGTTCGTATCTACCTCTAAACAGTGCGATGGGGTAAAAGAAATATATGTGAAAGCAAATAAAGAAAATGGGAAAATACTGAGATGAGGAAAGTTTGAACGAGATGTACAGATAAAGAGAAAGATTGAGTGGGGAGAAAATAACAGACTGATAAAAAAGGACGGAGGAAGAAAAAAGTAGAAGTACAATGCAAAGCATTTAAAAAGTAGGGAGAACGGAGGTTGATAGAATATAAGAATAGGAATAGAAGACTTTGGTGTCAGTTTGATAAAATAATTAATAGAAAACATTATCAGAGATGGCCGGATCGATGTTATTAAAGATTATGGGCAAATGTTTTTAATTTTGTCTACTTTTCTATTTGTTTTTGTTGAATTAATTGTTGACACGGTAATTGGAACTGGTGTTTTTATAAAAATAACAAGCCCAGCTGGTTTATAGATTTATGGATTTTCGAATCAGAAATACGTCTCGGTCAATAAGGCAGGGTTATAAACCGGAAATATTTTACGAAATTTAATATTTAAAAAAATACATTTAATCCTTATTTGAGAATTATGTTTTAGGGTCTGCCCCAAACGATTTGAAGTCTTTCCAAATTAATAAGTAAGACTGTGAGCTTATTGATGTATCGGCCAGGGAAAGTGGGACAGTATGTCGTTCAGGGAGAAGTCGAAAAACAACGGATAATTTGTTCAAATAAGGGCGGAACTATCAGGAAGAAAAACCCTATTTGCATGTAAATAAACTGTTTACATTAATTGACATGGAAAATGTCTCATTTGAATATTTATGAGTAGACAAACACACAAGTGGGTTGATGTTCTGATTTTTATTCATTCCCCACGACTGACTGTCGTTTCCTACTTTAAATTGCCCAAAAGAAAAACGACTATTTTAAACAGTATTGTACGCCGTTTCAAATGTAGTTTCGGCCTGACAAGTCAGAGGGATAAGCAAGGACGACCGCGTTTTGCACAATAGCGAAATAATAGGATGTCCTTCATGAAAAAATGGTGATAAAGTGTTAATCTTATTTGACACAATTCAAATTAAAATATTTTAAAAAAATCCTATATGTAAAAGTTTTTTCATAATTTGATTTTAACACTGGCTGGCTTCAGTCAATTTCAAATATATAAAAATGATCAGAATGACATTAATCAATGGGTGTTTAATTGAATCACTAAAACCGTACGAGTCGAAAGGTCTTGCCCAATGACATGCAAATGCCTTTTATCCTTCGGAACTTCACAACACCTTCGACTGAATGCTATTCGTCCATGCAAAACGGTATGACAAAACTCGCGCTGCACTTCCAGGTCAAGATGAATAATGAATGACTCGGCGTTTGCTTTAAACCGAGCATTAGGTCTGGTGAAATTCATAAATTTGACCATTAAAGAATGTTATAAGCACGTTTGGATATTTTGCTACTTTTAGAAAATCGGAAGGCAGAAGCAAATAACTATCACCACAAATAGGCAAACTAGGTAACCAGAAATTAAACTATTAACTATCTCACCATCCAGACGTTCAAGTTATGTTTGATGTACACTGTTTTCGTCCGTCTATCTTGCTGGTTTATGTTGCACATCTTCACTGAGAAATTGCAACATAAATCAACGAAATACACGAGAAAAGTCTCGTTCGACATGAGGTCGTACAGTCGCAGATCAACCAAATCCACCAACTTGGACGTTGTAGTTGTTTAAAAAAAGTCAAAAAAGAATTGTATATATCAATAGATTCCTCTTTTTTGTTTACCTTGTTTATTTTGTCGTTTTTCTTCTTTTAATTTATATCGCAGTGTTTATTTTCCTTTCTTTTTTTCTCCCTTATCTTATTTTTCCTATATCTTCTGTCAGAATATCTCTATGCATGTAGCTTTCTCACCATTCTTCTTTGAAGTAAATGTTGATATGGAATACAGTTAAATAGTTCTTCTTTCTTTCTCGTTTACATTTTCATCCTTTTATCTATTTTTCCCTCTGTCAGTCTGTTTTTATCTAACTACTACTTAATTAAGCCGAAAGGGGAAAAAAAGAAGTTCTGTTTCAAGTGGAAAGGCAAAAAGAAAGATCTAATCCTCAAGATTTATCTTCTTTTTTACTCGTTTGCATTTTCATTATTTTTTTATTGTTGCTTTTATCTTTATATCTGTTTCTCTATCTCCGCCCAGAACCCTACTGCGGCCTAGCAGCCTGCCACAAAAGAGGATACGTCTTAAAATGGATCCTTAATGAAGCCAAAACCTGGTGGAACAATACCACAGGTATGAGGCACGCGAAGAGATTCATCAAGGACCATCCGCAAAACTTACAAAAGAACTACTGGAAGGCAACCGCAACCGAACCAGGATTCTGGTTGGACTCCTGACGGGGCACTGCCACTTAAGAAAGCACATGCACCGGATAGGAGTACAGACAGAAGAAACACTGTGCAGATACTGCCGGAAGAGGAGGAGACTGCAGAACTCATTTAGGTGCAGGTTCTTGCAACCAGAACAAGAAAAAACACAGGCAAGATCTTACACCAAGGAACCGCTTGCAAAGCTGTGGAGGCTGGTTAATAGCCTGAAGCTGGCCAGTGTTATAATTAACAGAGGAGCACAATAGATCTATTTAGGTCGAGGTGTAGTAGGCCTTGTGGCCGCCTCTCTTTTCCCTATCCCTATCCTTATCTATTTCCTTGTGTTTATCTGTTTACGTATTCTCTTGATTAAGCGCAAAGAAGAAAATTAAAGAAGTACTATTTTTCAACATTTCTCCATCGTTCTTCGTTAGCAATTTCATTGTTTTTGTACTTTTTCTCTCTTCTTCCCATCTGCATCACTCCCCATAAGTCTATTTATCTGAGAACTGTTTATCTATTGTACTGTCTATCTACCTATCTACTTAATTATGTAAAAGGCAAAAAAAATCCATTTCTCTAATCTTTTGATCTGTTGATCTGTTATCAAACTAAACGCTTATTAATTTTTCATTCAACAATTAAACCATTTAATTTGAAATAATCATTTTTTTGTACACGTTGAATATTATATTTGATAGTCTTTCATTACAAATCAACGATACTCAAGCTGGTCAAGTGTTTAAATCGCCCAAGTCAATGAGGATGATTGATCTTGATGATAACGGGCCAACTATACTTATCGCTGATTTTTTTTTCTTCTGAAAATATGTAGTATTCCTTGATTCCCTTTGATAAGAAAATACTGTACGATTGATTTTTTAAATATTTTTTATTTGTTATTACAGGACGTGTAAAGGCCAGTATTATCAGCCCTGTTCTTCCATATCACCGGTCCAGCTGGTTTTTAGGTGAGTCCGTTTGATCGACAAATCACTGTGAACTTAAAAAAAAAAAAAACAGTTTCGATTTGAGAGATTAGAGTTAATTGAAGGAGTAAACGAGCCACGCTTGACCTAGGGTCGCAGTGGAGCAACTCCTCGCTGACTCCTGGCAATCCGAGTTTCATTATTTTCAAAAGAGCTTGCACAAGCGAAATATTGTCTTTCTACAGCTCTGGATCAAGCTACAATCTGTAAACATAAGAATAGACACTTTTTTTGAAAATTTAATGTACTGTTTCTTTCATTAATCTTCATGAAGTTCATGAAAAAAGTCTGATTTTCTTTATTTTTTAAACAAATTAAATTTCTTATTTCAACATTATTATGACGATGTTTCAAACACATTCACAAATAACTAAGATCAAATGTCCAGAAATGATTTATTTTCAAATTAAGCTTAATTATTCAGAAATTTATATTGAAAAGTACAAACAGGATTAAGGCTATGTGACTGTAGGAAAAAGTCTAACACGACGTCATCACAGAGGAATTAAATTAAATAACGTTTTTCCAGGCTTTCCTCCTGTCTTTTTTTTCACGTCGGGTTTTCTCCTGCAGATCTGAAATTATTCATCACTAAAAAGAAAATTACCGAGTTCTCGAAAGTTATATCATACCATTGTTATCGCGCCTCCCCCTCTATCCTTCAACATTTTTTATCTGAGTGACAGAAGTAACCAAGGTATTGCCGAGACAGAAAGACCCATCATTTTCACCCGTCGCGAATCGCCAAATAGTAAGTAAAAATGTAAAATGTTAAAAAAATTTAGTGTACTTGTAGTTTAAGTTATTTATTTTTTTTAAAAACATCCCCCTGGATAGATAATATTTTGAACAAAGCCAAAGTACAAAAAAGAGGTTTTTTCTTCACCTTCTTACAAAGATAATACTAAATTTTACCCATTTTTTTACAATCTTGTATATTTATATCAAAATTATTCAACGTTTACTAATTAACAAAAAAAATTACCACATGAAACTGTAACATGAATTGAGAATTCATATTTCCAAGGAGGAATTGATTAGGTCAATTTGCATGACATTATTCCTTGGCGTTTGTAAGTTCGTGCTGTGATTCGAAATCGTCCGTCGGAGGTGATCTCCCGTTGAAAGGCGACCACGTTGAAAAATGGGCGTAACCACCGTTTATACCTTATTGAAAAATATGTAGACAAAACAAATATTATTAATCTGGCTCCTCTTATCTTATCTTTATAACGTTTTCTCACTTTCCACCGGCAGGAGCTGACTCGAAGAAAAGTGTTTGCCGTTCAAACCGCGAAGAACCTCATTATCTTAAAAGATCAATAGGAATTTGTACGAATTTCTGTCGAAAATCCTCAAATCGGATGTGTTTTCTTACTAGACAATTCGGTTCGATGAAATCTGCAAAGCTGCAAGGCCATAACATAAAACATAGATCGTGACAACTAAGAGAAAACGAGCGGAACTACTTTTAACAAAAGCCAAATAACATAAAATTATACGATTGAATTCATTAACGATTGACTTTAACAACAAACTTTGAAGCTAAAAGCTTAATAGTTTCCGGGCTGTTGAACGTTCGACGAGCATGAGAGTTATCATGCGGACATCACTGACAGATGAAAACAAAATACATCTAAACAACTTACTTTGTTATAGTTTTGTTTGGTATTATGATAAATTATAAGACTCTTCCAATATGTTTTTCATACAATGTATATTTTCTATTTCATACATCTATTTATATTTCTCAATTCTTTCTTTCTCTCTCTCTCTCTCTCTCTCTCTCTCTCTCTCTCTCTCTCTCTCTCTCTNCTATCTCCCTTCATCCCCCTATCTATCCCTATTCTCAATTTTCCTTCTCTCTCTCTCTCTCTCTCTCTCTCTCTCTCTCTCTCTCTCTCTCTCTCTCTCACACACACACACACACACACACTCACTCACTCACTCGCTCACACCCATTCTCTCTCTCAATCTATCTATCCAATGCTATCTATATTTATATTTATATCTATTTAGATTATCTCTGTCTCTCTGTCCGTCTCTCTCGACCTATCTATCTATGTATCTACCTATCTACCTATCTATCTATCTTTATTTATTTCTATTAAGATCTCTCTCTTTATTTATCGAAAGATTCCGCTCGATGAGTTCTATAAATAAGTCAGTACGATGGGAAATACTATTTGTTCAAATAAAACAGTGGACTTTTGTAACAACAGCAAACTTTAAACCCCAAATCCACTAAAATTCAGTTGTAAACAAATAAGAGAAGAAGAAATGATTAAAACTGTAAAAATTCGAAAAGCACGGGTCCTATAAGTCCCTCTACTCTCAAACCCAATCTCCCACTGATTGTTAAGATATTCGGCCAATTAATATTTTATCATAACTCAGTAAAATATTTGATAAAGTGGTATTTAATCAAATCTATCAAATTGTTGAAAATAATATTATTCCCACTTTTCAAGCAAGATACCGGACGAACAGTAGCACTGAACAAATTTTAATAAAATTGTTAAATGACATAAAACTGGTATTGATGATAAACATATTTTAGTTTCCATTGGATGTAGTAGGACCTTTGACAGGGTTGATCTTGATATACACATTTCAATCCTTGAGATCTATTAATCTATCCTGCAATGTCGTTAATTAGTTTAAATCTGACTTTCTTAATAGGTAACAATAAGTAAAATCTTCAAAAAACAATTATTGTAATTGGATATTCACCAATCGTGGCCTCAAGGGTCTACGCAATCGGCTTTATTTTTATTATTATATTTTATTTTATTTTACGAGGGTTCGCAACAGCAGAGGTCATATAAAACCCTCAGGGTGCCCGGGTTTTGGAAAAAAACCCATTTATAAGTACGTCGAGTTCGAATGCAAGGGCCGCTGGATTCGAACCCGGGATCTTCACCTGAAAGTAATGAGCGCCGTGTCAACGCCTAAACCGTTGCGGCCACCGGTGCCCCATCGGCTTTAATGTTTGTATTTATTATACATAAATAGAATATATTACGAATTTACTAACTGCCTCTTTTTATATGTATGCTTATGACCTGAATATATATGTGTAAAATCACAATAATTAAATATAAACGAACACGTATTAAAAATAAATAGCGACATAAAAACTTAAAAAAATATACCAATGATCATGTTTGATCAATTAATATTAAAAAATGTAAAGCTATTTTATTAGGACAACACAAACATTTTGTAAATTGCAAGATAATAGTCTAGAAATCAAAATTTATGATAGTATATTAATTTTAAACAGCTAAATAAAAATTCTCGGCTTAGTAATAGATGAATATTTAACCTGGAAACACATGTTGATAAAGCTTGTAGCAGGATATATTCCATTGCAGTATATCAATTTTAAAAACGATGTAATACGTATAATAATACATCCATGAAGCTAAAGCTTTTTAATGCACTAATGCTTCCAAATATAACTTACGGTCTTGCACCAGTTTCTAATCTTTCGAGTAAAAATCTTCATAAGTTACACGTTACTATAAATATATGTATTCGCTATATCTATAATATACAATATGATTCTAGAATTTATGACACATACAATAATTTATCCATTTTAAAAATTTATGATTAGTTAAAATTACAAAATTTTGACTATTTCCCATGGCATAATCCACAATACAAAAACTATTATACCATTAAACCATTATATATATATAATTCTTTTTCTCCAAGTTCTTGGTTGAGATGAAAAAGGACAATTAATTGAAATCATTAATATGGCCAATTAGGACCGCTAAACATATATAGATTAGATACTTTTATTTATTACTTTTATTAATCTCTTTTTTATTTTAAACTTTTACATTAACTTGTAAAACGTTAATAATCATTTTATTAGTATTTTATTCCATTTTTAAATCGTAAAATTATGTTCCAATTCTAGAAGGCTTTAAAATAGTTTTTAAGAACGTTACGAAAAATCTATATCTAATTTGTTACTCAACAATAATAGGCTTTATAAAAATATAATTTATAAGTTCAAGTTACTCTCATTCTATTTATTTACTTCATTGTTGATTTTCCAACAATTGGTTATTTCTATTTTATGTCTGTTGCGACTATAAACAAATATAACAATTATAATTACTCGTTAGGTGTAAGAAAGATTCTAGAAACCTAACTTTTGCTGCTTGAATTTTAATAAATAAATCGTTAATCTCTCTTTCTCTCTCTCTCCCTGATCTTTCCCACTCTCTCACTCTCTCTATCTATCCATCTATCTTGCTATCTATCTATATATCTCTACCTCACCCTTTTTCTCCAGTATATCTTATCTATTTTAGCTAATTCAAGGTAACAATTCCTTCTCACTTTTTATACAAAGGAATTGATGCAGTATATACAGATTATGTTATGTTATGACTAAAAAGTTCGTTACAGCTGTTGCCTGTACGAAAAATCTGACCAGTTTCGTTTTATATATTGCGCTCCTATTTGTCAAGAATGTCGTCCAACATCTCAAGATCTTGATTGCAACAGCTATAAAAGATGTTTTTAAAATTTTTTCAGACATTCCTTCTCAACAAAAAAAGGACTCCGTAGGATATCCACGTGGTCGTGCGGATTTATATCATGTTTCAATGTTATTGGTGATGGTTTTTTTTTTTTTTTTCTCGTGAGGTCCAATGAAATCAATAAAAACGAAACTAAAACAATCAAAAATGTATAAATAATTATGTAACAAATTAAAGTTAACTTACAAATTTATAATAATTTAACAAAATAGAAAACAATATCGAATATATTATATATTATATATATTTTTTATATTTTATATTATATATTTTTATAGATTTTTTTTTATATTTTTTTATATTTAGGTATATGGCTAATGCCGAATTATATTGTTTTTAAAATAATTTTCATTTTTCTGATCAACTCGTGAATTAAGAAACTGTTTTATACGGCAAGAAAGAAAGAGCAAAGCCTTTTTTAAAAATAACTTAGAAAAACAGACATTCGCAGTTAAACAAAACGAATCTGGGATTTTTGGTGGTCTTATTTCAAGAAATCAACAATACGCTTTGCTTATTCTTAAACGGATTAACACAACTTTAAATTATTTAATTTGCCACTTTTTCCAGATATATTATCATACAATATTCTGCCGTGTTAGAAGTATTTGACAAGAACGTTATTTGTTTAATATCATCAAGGATGTTTATTAAGGAAGGCGCTGTTTGAAATTTTCTTGTTTATCCTGTCAGCTAGACTTGTAAAATGTATTTACTCTTTTTTGATTTTTGTCTCCCCCCCTCTCGTGCTGGGCTTTTTATGTCGGCCGGCTACGATATCTCTGTTCTTATCTGTTTTTTTTAATTTTTTTCTTGATGCCTTCCTTAATGCCGCCAAATAAGAACACATAAGAAAAAACAAAAGGTCCCAAACATGGTCGGCGTTTTTTAACGGTAACAATCAGATTGCCAAAAGTCAAAATGGCGAGATGAAAATTTGAATCCTTTTGCTCAAACCGAAGTTCGGTAAATGTGATATAAGATTTAAACGTGACTTAGCTTTTTAAACGGACTGGTATTAATTACTCTTTAGAGGAATGAAAAATCCAAGCTTGCAAAAATTTGTGTGTGTAACAATTAATTTTTATTTGTAGAGAGTGAATAGACAGAGAGATCCACGTGGGGATGCATCTTTGTTAAGAAGGAATGTCAGAAAAAAATGTCACCAAACAGCAACACATTTTATAGACGTTGCAATCAAGATATATGGATGTTTGACGACATTCCCTACAAATAAAAATGCAATTTATAAAGCACAAACTGTTCAGACTATTTGAACAAGTTGCAATTCTTCGGAAATAAAGTTATCTAGTTCTCTACTGGATGAATAATATGCCAAAACAAATTGTTAAACGGATGAGAAAAGTGAAGGAATTAGAGAGAGAGAGAGATAGAGGAGTGAAACATTGAAACAACAACAACTATTTTTAGATATATAAAAGTGTATTTTTTACTCCAAGGGGGAAAAAATCCTTCCAAATACGAGTGGAAGAAGAAAAACTGTATAAAAAATATATTGAAAATTTTTCTTTCAACCAAACATATATTTGGCATAATTTACGTTTAATAATTATTATACGTTAACATAGAAACACCCATATGTACATAAAAAAGAGGTTAATTTCTCTCCATCCTTTATCAAGTCATCTGTTCTGTCTCTATCAATTTATCAACCTTTTCTCTTTTTTATCGACTGTATAATTTCTTTAATTCTTTATTTTATGTCTATTTACTTTGAACTATATCGCTCTGTCCCGCTGCCTGGTTTCTTCTCTATCATTCTTTTCTATTTGTCTGCCTCGACATCTGCTTTATTATTTATAATAAATATAGTTTTTCGATATATTTCACTTTGTACTGATTCTGTTCATTTACCTCTCGCACTTTTCTCGCTTTATCTCTCTGTTTCTCTAACTCAAAATCTTTCTCCATCTCTACTTTTTCTCTCTTTCTATATCTCTACTTTTTTCTCTCTTTCTCTGTCTCTACATTTTCTCTCTCTCTTTTTCTGTCATTACTCTCTCTCTATCTATCTATCTCTCTCTCTCTCTCTCACTCACTCACTCACTCACTCACTCACTCTCTCCCTTTCTCCATCCCTCTCTCTCTCT